ACACACACACACACACACACACACACACACACACACACACACACACACACACACACTGCTGATGCATGTCCCCATTCATGACACACACACACTCGCACAGGAAATTCTTCCATTCACAAGGTCTTCCCTGACCTTCGTCTTCAATATTAGCCGAACGTTGCTCAAGATATGTCGGTCTTCTGTATGACATTGAATTAATTTACAATTTATTAAAAAAATAGAGATATGAATTGATGAATAAATTCAAGTTTGTGCATCAGAGTAATTGAAATATTTCTTGTGTTATCTGCCAGTGTTTAGAATATTCCTTGAGTGTATGATGATGAAGTGACATAAAGACGTCCCGATTCAAACATTGCCTTCATTCTTTTGTGTTTGCACGTTGGCTTTTAATGGGGTTTTTTTTGTAAATACGTGAAACACGCCGAGTTACCTTGTATATGTGCTACATAAATAAAGCTGCCCTGCCTTGACTTCATGCACTGGGATAAGTTATAAATATTGTTCGAGTATCAGCAACGTGCAAGCATGAAATCATGCAAAAAAGCTCAAACTATTTTCATGTAAAACTTTGCCGCAGGGATTACTTTAAGCGTTTTTAATGATTTATATCATCAATAATATTGCAAATTTTGCAGCAAGGGGTGAGAAGAGAAAATCAAATCGAAAGGACAAAATGAAGAGCATTTTTAATTGTGGAACAACATACACACATCTGCATGCACACACATTACCTTCACCGTGTCCTCTTGTCTGTTGCCGTGAGCAGACTTGATGTCAGGTTTTATAGCAACCGTCTGTCTGTCTGTCTTTCCAATGTGCAGCCTCCCGTGTGACATCACTTCCTGTACCCCCTTTCCACTGTGTAACATGTAAGTGTGTGTGTGATGGCATCAGGTGAATTTCTTTCCTTCCACATTTCCTTTCCTTTCCCTCGTCTCCTCTTCTCATCTGTACTTCCGTTGGTGATGTTTAATAAAATACTTCAAAAAAAATAAGGGCCCGAGTGATGCTCACAGATCAAAAACATCACGCTGATGCACTCCAGAGTGGATTGATGTCAGCTGAAGTAGTTGTGGGGGTTTTGTGAACCAAATGTCACTGCCGATGACTCACATTATATTTTGAGGACAAAATCTTTCAGGACTTTGATATTGTCACTGACTTGAGAGTGCAGCATCCCACGAGAACCTAAATTTTTTTTTTATTTCATTGATTGACTTATTTTTCTGGTTTTATGATTTTGACATACAGTAGGGCTGATGGATTATAGAAAAAAAAGAATTGTGATTATTTTGATTGATACTGAAGTCACAATTAATATAAAAAATGATTTATTACAAAACTTTAGATTTATTCAACCACCAAACTGACTGTAACTACTGAAAACATACCATCATGCCTATTTATCCCTGTACGTTGAACACCTAAATCGTGAACAAAGTATTTTTTGGGTCAAGTACAAAATGACCATGTCAATATTATGTGAAACTGGAGCGCCACTCATTTTTTTGCATCCACCCCTTTACTTGATTGTGTTTGTTCACACATTCAAACTGTGAAAAACACCTCCCTTATCTCTTTACCATCTTTATTTTATCTTATTTTGTGGTTCTGTTTTTATTTTGGCAAGTCTTGGGTTTTACTGGGTGAACCTGGGACCTTGAGTTTTGTATTTTGTGCCATATCATGTGGAAATGTGTGTTGCTTTCTTCTTCTTCTTCTTCTTCTTCTTCTTCTTCTTCTTCTTCTTCTTCTTCTCCCTCCCTCCCCAAAAAGTGCCTTCAAGCTGTTTGTTGCCAATCCCACTTGAAATCTACTGTCAAACGAAACAGAAAACTAAGAAAATGGCATGTTTTATTCTTGAAACAACCACGTAACTTTGCTTTGCAATCCGCTAGCTTCACGCTAACACATAACGGTAAACACAATAGACAGCTAGTCGAATAGCATCAGTGTCGCAGTGTTGTAACGCTCTAAGCGAAGGATTGGACAGTAGACCAATACATTTAGAGTGATAAAACATGATTCACAGGCTCATTTTCTTTATCCTCTGCAAAGAACATCTAATATTACTGCGGTTCACTGAGAGTTTTGACCAACTCCATCTATAGCTGTATGCCTGTATCATACTGCACCCGGGTAATTGTAAAAGTTGAGTTGAAATGTTTTGTAACCAAATTAAAAAACTTGTGCGTGTGCGTTTTTAACAGTAAACATGATTTTGGTTTGTGTTTCCGTCGCCACTGGCAACAGCCCCCGCCCCATGTCCTCCCTGAGGGTGCTGGTGAGCTCCATTTCCTCATTTCGCTTGCTCTCATTGAGACAACACACCTGCGCTATTAATAGCAGCTAACTCGCTAATAATGATGGAAATAACTGGACCGATAATTGGCGACGACCTTCTCGAGTCGCACTGATGTCATTCCATGCGGCCCACACACTCCACACTCCACGCTTCCTGCATGGTGCAAAAAAAATTGGTAAAAATCATCTTCATACTTCCATGAATTTATAATTGAAACTGATTAATCACCCAGCGCTAACAGACAAGTACACGCACACACACACACACACACACACACACACACACACACACACACACACACACACACACACACACACACTTTTTGACAATGCGATACAGGTCATATGGGTCATTAACGCATTAAACGCTTTGCTTATTGAGTGGACTTTGGCGATGTCAAATTAAATCACAGGACCTCGTGGTTATTATGTTTCATTCATTCTGGACTTAATCGTAACACAATACACACACGCATGCAGGCCGGAATTATCCAGTCTCTGGCCTCACACCTCGCCAGCCGCGGAACGTCTTGTTCTAAGTCAACAAAAAGACGTTCACAATGCTCACGTCTGGCACGCGCCAGTGGGGACCTTTACCAAACAGCCAATCAAGAGACTCACAGGTTGGTGATGTCACCCGGCGCGCCGGTCGGCATGCCGCCGGGTGACACCCGAGCCCTCTCGGATTTGGGGTGGTGTTAGTAACATATTATTATGCCGCCGCTCACGGTGGAAATAATCCTCATGATATAATGTTTGTAGATGAATGTAACAAGACCACAATTCTTTGCAGGAATGAAGGCGGAGCATCCAGGGACTGAGGAGAAAAGGACATCGAAACTCGGATTGGAAGTGAGATGCATTCATGTCCGAGTCTTCAGCATTCAATAGAGTTTGTTTCTGACAAAGCTACTGCAAAGTTAAAAGGGGGCATACAGTGATTCAAGTATTATTTATCCTCTGGAAAGACTAATACAGTATTAGGGCGGCTTATTGAAGAATCAGGAGACTCTATGTAAACTAGTGTTTTGGGTGAAACCAAACCTTGTTCCACTTCTGATTACTAAAGAACATAATGAGCAAGATGCAAACTGATGAAAGAAGAGATTCTACTCTTTCTTTTGGTAATACAATATTCTGTGGGTCTTGAAAGATCTGTTTCTGCTTTGAAAGTGACTGACGGGGAATGGAGGGGCGGGTCGAGGGG